CATGTAACCTTATGATAGGAGAATCACGCTCCACTCACAATCACTCCTTTTTTTTTGTCAGACCAGGATGAGGTGTCTTGAGCATGCCCTAATTATAGGAGACACCTTTAAGTCCGTACCATACTTAGACTAATCTCCGTTTACACCGCGTCGGTCCAATTAAGGGGCAATGTACTGGCCAGATTGGTTTTTCCATACTCACAACCACCCCTTTTAGCTAGGATAATTGCACATGTGCCAGCACAAGATGATCAGTTAGTTTCTAAGTGACAAATTGTGGACACCAGGCACAGGTTCTACCACAATCCTATACAGGTCAGAGTGTGGTGACATTTGAGATGAAAAATTTCACCTTTTATGGACAACTTAGGATCATACATGTGACCATCCACAATGGAGTGTTGGGACAATTAAGACGAAGAATTTCACCTTTTGTGAGCATGGATAATTTCACGGGTTTTTTTGTTGGATGATCTAAATGCACAAAATCCAAAAATTTAATGATGTATTTTCTAAAAAAATTATGTTGTAACTTACCTTAAACCAAACAATATCACCATTATCACGATCAAGAGCCCAAGCAAACCCACTTTTCTGCACTGCCACCACAACATCTCTAAACCTTTTCTTCTCCAATATGGTAACCAACATTGGAGCCTCTCCAAAGTCTGCTTCCATGTTCGGGCCGGGCGGGCAGTCCGGGTTGTTAGGAACCAAACACACAAAATAGGAAACATCATAGCCCCCTAGCTGCCTAGCCCAAACAATCTCTCCTGTCATCATATCCAAAGCTAGGATAGAATTGAAGTGAGCATCCGGCCCGAAACATTGGTCCGGCCCGGCCGGAGGGCCCGTTCGATTATTCCGAGCGGCCTGACACCGCAGAACCTCCTCCGGAGCGTTGTACAGATTTCCGGTGCCGACATAAACCCATCCCCTACGCTTGTCCACGGCGGGGCTGCTTCCCCAGATGGCGGCGCCGGAGTAGCCTCCCACCTTTCCACCATTATCTGGTAGTGTATACGTTTGCCATAGAATTTTACCTCTTTTGATGTCTACCTTCGCTAGGCTCCCCCGGAAAGTGCAGCATTTTCCGGCCGGCAAAACTACTTCCAATGATGATACTCCCACATAACATACCCTATTATAAGAAATTTTAAAATATTTATTTTAAAATCATATAAAAATTGTTGTGTTAATGCTATTGGTTGAGGAGTAAAATTTGCAACCATTATTTGAGGGTGTGCATTGGATTATGACTTACCCTAAACACAAAGAATTATAATGAAATCAAGATGGTAATAGGTTGGTCTAACTAGATTGAAATCATATAAAAACTATTGTGTTAATGATATCAGTGTCTTTTGAGTTTTAGGAGAAATTTGGGGAGTGACAATGAAAATTCGCAATCACTAAGTATGCACTAGGTAAATTCAGCTTCTGACCCTGTTCCATAAAGGATTTAGGTCAACTAGCGTAGTTCATATATAGTTAATTGGCTCAAATTAAGATGTCTAACAAGCCACTCCATTTGTTGGTAGTCAAACTTATAAAGTTATAAGTTCTTGTTATCAAAGCTAGCTAACATGACTAATTTAGTTGGAATTGCACCACCGATATCATCGGTGACTTTTGCATGAGTATAATCCAATGTTGAAGAAGGCGCTAGACACTAGTCGAGCGTCCCGGGCGCCTAGGCGGCCTAGTAATCTGAATATAGTCTTTACTTTACCCACTAAGAGCTATAAGTTGTTAGACGGTCATAATTCTCAGAACTAGTCAATTGCATATATTAGATGGTTAGATGAGAAATATAGAAGAGGAGTAGCTGAATATGCAAAAAAAAAAAAAAAAAAAAAAAAAAAAAAACCACTCGCCGGGAAAAGTTGAGAGCTAACTAGGTTGAGTTATGCACCGACTCGATTCAATTAGACGCCCGATTCGATCGAGTTAAGTGCTAAACTCGTCCAATCCGGTGCCCTAAAGTGTCTAGTCCGCTGATTACACTGTTAATTGACTAAAAATTACCTAAGTCTTAAATCGCCTGGACCTAGGGACTCCTAGCGCCTGGTCGGCGCCTAAGCCACCCATGCTAATTTTTACAACAATGGTATAATGATGTAAAACACGAACTAACCCTGGAGGGACGACGCAAGTTGCTGAAGCAGTAATAACGGCCAGAGGGCGAGGGTCAAGCTGAGAAGCCCACACAAGCTCTCCAGTGGAGCGTTTCACGGCTATCACCACGGCAGGGCCATAAATCCCGACGATCAGATATTTTCCGGCTACCGCCGGAGTAGATCTCGAGACAGTGACATTCAGGTTTCTCTCAGTTGACGCCGTCGGCTGCAAGCCCGTTAACTGTCCAACATTTTGTTCCCAGATAAGTGATCCTGTGATTGCATTCACTGCGTACAGATTCCCATTCCATGACGGAAAGTACACCACCCCATCGGCGACGGCCGGCGTCGCCGTAATATCGAAACCGGCGGCGAATTTCCATTTTAATTTCAGCCTCTGCGCCACCGTTGCTGGGTTGATCAATCGCTCTCCCTCTGCATACCTTCTGTTGGTTATGTCCCTTCCATGAGTAATCCACTGAATATTATACAAAAAAAACATTAATCATATATAAATATCAAAATATTATACAGAAAACAATTATATATATATAAAAAAAGTATTTGTAATAGATATATAACAATGCTTATTATTAAAACTGAATATTAATAGATCTTTGGGCAATTGGGCATACTTCAGAGGTTGTGTTATGTATAATATTTAAGGTTAAGGTAGCAACAAAGAGAACAAGAATGTTGCCAGTCTTGATCATAGTAAATTTCGAATCCATGAAGCTAAAAGAGTGTAAATTATAAGGATGTAAATACACTATATATGGAAATTTTATACTGCCATGTATTATTTTGTTTTGTTTTGTTTTGTTTTGTTTTTTTTTTTGTTTTTGTTTTTTTTTTTTGTTTTTTTTTTTTTTTTGTTTTTTGTTTTTTGTTTGTTTTTTTTTGTTTTTGTTTTTGTTTTTTTTTTTTTTTTTTTTTTTTTTTTTTTTTTTTTGTGGAAATACTGCCATGTATTGTTAAGTGAATGTGCCAAGCAGGAGGGAGGTAGAGTTAGCAAGGCAAATTATTGTGTGGACCATGGCCTACATAATTGTGTAGATCATGAATATCAGGTACATTTTTAATATATTAAAAGTACATTATTTTTGTATTAAAGGTACATTATTTTTGTACTGATAATGTACTCTTAGTATATTAAAAATGTACTTTAAAAAATGTACCTTACGTACATAAATAATGTACCCTTAGTATATTAAAAATGTACTTTTTATTTATGGTTCACACAATTGTGTGGACCATGGTCCATGTAATAATGATTGAGTTAGCAATGGACCACATGACGATAGAGACTAGGGTGTAAACAAAAATTGAATGAAATGTGTAAAGTTTAGGAAAATACTATATCGACTCTCAACTTTTACTCTCAATTTATATTTCTTTTTACAAATTTTTGATATAGACATTTTTTCTGGGGTTCACATGATGAAAATATCTAATCATTATTTATCATATTATTGAGTAAAAGTAAGGGAGTAGAATTTGAAAGTACATGTAGTAAAATTCTAAAGTTTATTGATTAAGAGACAAAGTGACATGGTATTCTGAGGATATATAATCTTAATTATCTCAGATAAGATTGTATGTACTCAGGATACGGCAAATTATGTTGTGACACGTGCCCACCTTGTAAGGTGGACACGGTTCCATATTCATAATTTCTATACTGTAGATTCATAAAATTTATACTTTAGATTCTAATTGTTGAACTCTGTTTTCACAAATCAGAGAACTATATGTTAATAATTTGATAACTATACACTTTAGAAATTATGAATTTACAGTACATAAATTATGAATCTGCAGTATAGAAATTATGAATCTATTATATAGAAATTATGAATCTATTGTATTTAAATTATGAATCTACGGTTTAGAAATTATGAATCTAAATTATAAATTTTATAAATCTACAGTATAGAAATTATGGATCTACAGTATAGAAATTATGGATATCGAACACAACATAACGTTCCCAGAATACCACAATTTAAACATTATTTCTTTCATCATCTTAGAGAAAGAAGAAATTTTATTGGTTGAAATAATAAATATTGTTTTTTTGAAAGCCAATAATAAAATGTGCGTCTGTAGCTCAGTAGATTGAACGTCTGTTTCCTAAGCAGAAAATAAATTAATATTCATCTCGTATTCTCAACTATAATGAAACTTGTTCTCTCTATGGTAGGTACATAAGTACATAAATATGCTATTTTTGTTGTCATTTTTATAATTTTATTTTATGTACTCGTAATAATATTTTTATTTACCTAAAAAATTGTATATACCTAGAGTGTTAATTTATATACCTAAAAAAAAGATTGACCTTGCATAGATGCGCCAACCCTAAAAAAAAATATGGCTTTCAATTACTTAGGGCTTTAATTAGTTTGTAATTAGCAAATGGGTTCTAAGGAGGAGTTGTTACACCATGGACTAAGGTCCACCTTGCAAGGTGGACCATAGTCCTAAACGACATAAATTGTGTATTATAGTATTAGAATTGTGAACTTCTAAAATATAAATTGTGTTTCTAAGTTAAAACACATAACATCTGTAGAAGGGAAATTATGAATACAATACAGAGTCATTAAATCCTAATATGTTAATATTTTGTGACTATAGTATTTGAAAGATTGGACTCAGGTATATGCCCTTACAGGTAACTCAGTTCCTGAGTGAAAGATTGTACTCAGGAGCACAATATTGAATTTTGACAGTCGTAGTGTAAGAGTCAGGGCTAAATATGAACACATGCTTAAAAGTAGGAACTATGAGAATATATAAGATTGGACTCAGGGTCGCAGTATCGAATCTTGACAGGCGCAGTGTTGGAGCCGGGGCTAAATATGGAAACATATGCTCAAAAGTAGGAACTATGAGAATATATATATACACACACACAATACAAGTTGGGCTCTAGTTTCTGTGGATCAAAGCAAAAACAGAATGCAGATTCTCTAAGCCCAACTACCATCCAGACATCCAAGTACAACCTTGTCCAATCCAATGTTTCAATGAACTTGTCTAGGCTCTAAGTAGTACTTCAAAATTTCCATGGAAATGTTAGGGAAAAGGAACTCACTCTGCCTTGTCTAAGGTGAACTAAAACCCGCAGGCCCGCCCTAAACTGTCCTATAGTGGGGCGGGATAGCGCTTATCTTACTTGTGGCGACTTCTTGTGGGAAGGCAGAGGAGACGGGTGGGGGGGCGTCGTGTTCCGAGGGGAGTGGTGATGCTTCACCGCTGCTGCTGCCGTTCTAACGCGGGCGGGAGGAGCGCCTTGATGCTCGGGCTGCTGGAGTTTGGACGAGCCCTTTGGCGCTTGGAGTTGCTCGAGCTCGGCCAGAACTTCGGACATGCGGGGCCTGAGTTTGTGCTCGGTGCTCAGACATTGCAGGGCGAGGTTTGCGGCTTTGAGTGCGCCTTTCTGAGGGTACTGGCCCTCGAGTTTCGTGTCCATAATCCGGAATAGCCTCCGCTTGTCGCCCAAATACGGTTTTGCCCAATCCACGAGATGCTGCTCCACACCGAGCTTCGTTTTGTCAACGGCACGACGCCCGGATAGTAGCTCGAGCAGCACGACCCCGAAGCTGTAAACGTCGCTCTTCGCAGTCAACCGGCCCGTAGCGACGTATTCGGGCGCTGCGTAGCCGTGCGTGCCCACTACTTGCGTAGACACGTGAGTGCGGTCGCCAGTGGGCCCCGCCTTAGCCAAACCGAAATCCGACAACTTGGCATTAAATTCCTGCAGCCAATGGAGTAAAAACCACATCTGAGACAGTTCAGAATAGCAATTTTTTTAGTACTACTGACTCTGTTACAATACAGTACTGTTCATAACTACTTTCTCAACCTACTGAAACACAAAATTCGTTGCAGTTAACTTAGGGGTGTTATAACTAGTTGCAGTTAATGTAACGAAATTGTAATTGTAGATTCGTACTCATCTTTTCGAACAAAAACAAGAACAATTTAAGCAAAGCCAAGGCAACCGTGACGATTTACTTAACAAAACATACCGCGTCTAAAAGAATGTTAGATGCCTTGAAATCGCGATATATAACTGGTTCTTTAGCATCGTGCAAGAACGCAAGCCCTCTTGCAGCACCGATAGCTACCTTGATCCTCGTAGCCCAAGTCAGAGGCTGCGACCCTCCTATTAAGCAAACACAAGATTGCGGGTCACTAACCATTTTAGACATTTGACATCACGGGGACAATTTTGTGCAGATTCTATACAAAGAGTCGAAGACTAAAGAGCATTCAGATAACAAACCAAAAGAGGTATAGATATGGTGTGCATGTATAATAATAATAAAGCTAGAAGCGAGAAAAATGGACAACAAACGAATTAAATTATGATGAAACACGAACAATAAGGGAGCCAACAAGCATGACACAAGAAGAAAGGATCGTTTTAGGTGGCCGGAAACGTACTTCTAAAAAGATGATTTTCCAAGCTGCCTTTAGGCATGAACTCGTACACCAAGAGCCGGTTGTCACCATCCGAGGAGTATCCAATAAGTTTAACGAGGTTTGGATGATGAAGTTGCCCGAGATAATTAACTTCGGTCTACAAACCATTGATTGTTAATTAAACGGGAAAAAACAAAGGATAAGAAGATTAAGCTCGGGAATACGCGAAGCATACCAGCCATTCTTTATGACCCTGAAAACCTTCCGGTTTCAACTTTTTCACCGCGATGACCATCCCGAATCCGGGTCTTGTAGGGGTAAGAGAATGCTCGTCAATCCATCCTTTGAAAACATAACCGAACCCTCCTTCCCCTAGAAGACTATCGGGTCTAAAGTTTCGGGTCGCACTCTTGAGCTCGTGAAATGTGAAGGGTTTAACATTAGGGGACGGTAATATTTCGCCTTCAGATCGCGGTGTAGGAAAGCTGTCCACACTGCTTCTTCTACTATAAGACGGAATACTTAAGGTAGAAGGAACAGAAAAGCTGCTCGCTTTGCTGGGAACTTTCGAGGCTTCAGAAGCTATACGAAACACAAAAGCACAAGAAATCTTTAGCTATTCACTCGCATATACCCTCTATCTCCCAAATTTAAACGAATTAACAAAAACGAAAAGCCTCTTAAATCGGAACTTCATATCTACAAATGAAAACTAGACAGGACAAAAAGAAAGCAGTAATCTTTGCAATCGAAAACCAGATTGCACTCAAAAGTTAATAATTCCAAAACATCATTTGACTGTTCCAATAATTATGCAGTAATGTTCATTTTAACACAATCAAAGTAACAATCCCACAAAGATTATGGAACCAACTGAACTAATTGCCCTCTAGAAATTCATTTCAAGGCCAAAGACACCAACTTTAAGCCTCTAATTACACATTAATTAAAACCCAAACTTAATCACCCTCTCTAAAATTCATTTCAAGGCCAAAGATACCAACTTTAAGCCTCTAATTACACATTAATTAAAACCCAAACTAATCACCCCCTCTAAAATTCATTTCAAGGCCAAAGACGCCAACTTTAAGCCTCTAATTACACATTAATTAAAACCCAAACTACAAATCACCCTCTAAAATTCATTTCAAGGCCAAAAGGCACCAACTTTAAGCCTCTAATTACACATTAATTAAAACCCAATCTAAATGAAACAGAGCACAACATAAATAAAACACAGACCCATCTTAAAGCAAAGCAAGAAAACCCAACAAAATTTCTCTCCTTCAAAACTCAAAGATTTCTGAAACACAACAGAAAGAGAGAGAGAGAGAGATGGAAGGTACCAGAAGGGGCGTGGGAGCTCAGAGTGGCATCAACTCTCGCTGAAGAACCAAAGCAATTACCCATCAAGATAAACCAAATCCACCAACAAAAATCAGGGCTTCAAGGAGAAAAATAATAATACTACTAAAGATTGCAAGGAATCAAGGATCTTGCTGGGGAAACGCCTGAAACTAGAGAATATAAGCATATATACATAAATATCTAGGTGTGAAGATAAGGAAGGAGTACTAGTCAGCTAGCTAGATTTCTTGAGACGTTTGGTAATAGAACAGCAATGGAAGAAAAAAAAAATATGGGTTTAAAGAAATTAAAAGAAAACGTGGGCAAACACAACAAGGAAAGAAAAGGGGCAGTGAAGGACACAAAGAAATGGCGGATTACCTTCCTAATTCTGCTTTCACAATGACTTATGTTTTTTTTTTTTTAATATTTTTCCCAGGTGTCGCTGTTAGTGGTGCGGCTATGGCATATGCCATATGGCTATATGGGTCCAGAAAACGACAGACGTGTGTCTCGACAACGTATAGCCCACTTCTGTGGACGTGAACGAATTACTCGGTTTAGCTTTGCCACCCCTTCACTCGTTTTTGGTTTGTGTAGTGTGAAGTAAAACCTACTCATCTAGACCTACACATTTTTTAAAGATTTATAAATAAAACCAACACGCAATTGTGACATTATATTCATCTAATGGCAATCTTGTCAAAATTGGTCTAGGCAGCGTTAGTCACTCCTAAACTGAGGCGATTTCAGCCCTAAGCGGCTTTTAGTTGGCTGGCCGATTAACTGGTTGATTAGACGTCCTAGACGCCGAGTTGAGCGCCTAACTCTGACTAGTTGGCACCGAACTCGGTTCAATGGTATTTTTTATGTGCTCGGTTACATATGTAGTTGACTAATTTGTGGGATTATAATAGTCTAACAACTCACAACTCTGAGTGAAAAAAATGGAGACGATATACTTGAATTACTCGACTGCCTAGGAGATACCTACGCTAGGCGCCTCTGGACGTCTGACTAGCGCCTTTGAAACATTGTTTAACGGATGTGAAGTCTTTCATAAATGACAAAGGACAACAAAGGATTATCACAACAACAAAACATCACAATGTCCCTTCTAATGTTTTCGATCTTATCCCTATGTGTGTGTGTTTTTTAGGTGACGAATAAAATTCGCAATTAATGATATGAATAAGATAAAGTTTATTTTTGTATAATAATACGCTGGTTACAAAGTAAAAATAGCACGCACTAAATTTAGATAGATCATGCACGACAAACTTGATTGATAGGATTTTGGCAATGTGTTTTCTTTTATTTAACATGAATTGTATACCCTTTTGCAAGCTTATTTATTTATTTATTTATTTTGTATGCTTATAACGCAGTCTGGCGTTGTTTATGTTTTTCACCTTGTTGTATAGAACTTTTTGATTACTATTTTTATTTTATTGTTTTGAAAAAAATATTACTTTTTAAAAAAGGCAATATTTATGGCATGATTGATGATTTAATATAAACACAAAAGTTATTTTTATTTTAAATTATTAATAGTGTTCTCACTAAAAGTTGTTGGTTTAGTGCCCAGACAATAGAATATATATTGTTTTTTTTGAAAGTCAGACAAAAGAATATATTATTCCAAACAATAATTATAAAAATCCTATCATTTTAACCGTCCAACGAGCACGCAATGAAATGTTTATAAATTTATAATTTTCCTAGTTATTGTACGAAATTAACTATTTCGCGGGTAAATGAATGACGAGTAGATAGAGCATGATTCTCGTACTAGAAATTTACGAGTTTGATTATTACTAACACCCTTTTAATTAGAACTATAGTACAAGATATTTTTAGTGTGATTTACTTATCTAGCATGATTTATGGGCTATTACACAATAGTAGATTAAGATGTTTAATTTATCGGAGTTTGATTAGAATAAATTATTCCAGTAAAGAAAAATTTGTGTGAGATCGTCTCATAGATCTTTGTCCGTGAGATGGGTCAGGTCAAGATGAAAGTGTCATCATACTTATATTGAAAAATGTAATATTAATCAATAATAAATTACTCCGTATTTGTTATTTGTAATACTTTTGAAGAAAATGTAATACTTTTACATTTTAATTTAAAGTATTACTCTGTACATTTTTTCCTAAAGTATTACACTTTTCATTATAATAAGTAACAAACACTTCATTCGTTATTAGTATTACATTTTTCAATATAAATATTTTACATTTTTATCTTGACCCGACACGTATCACGAATTAATATTTGTGAGATGATCTTATATAGGAGAGTCACTTTTCTAGCAAATATCTTATGAAGCCTCAGTGTTGTATAATATTATATGCATACAAATTTTACAAACGTGAAGGTAGTCTTTGTTTAATTAATTAATTTAGGAAAGTTTTTAGGGTGCTAATTGCACTGAGTTTAATCAAAAGTGAATGTAAAAATGTCTTCTGTATAATTTCAAAGCTTTTTAAGTGATAAAAAAATCGGTGGTCATTATTCGATGATAAATACCGGTAAAATTACTAATTTGGAACCAAAATTTAATAGAGGTCATGTATATGTAGACTTTTCCATATTTCTTTTAAAATATTGTTTAAATAAAAATGGAGACCAACTATTTGAAACTTTTTTTTTTTTTTTTTTTTTTTGATTAAAAATGTGAAATAGTGGAGAATTTTTGGCCACTTGCCCATTTTGAGTGGTAACAACGGAAACCCTTGGACTTATAGACCAACAATGGTAGCATGCCACACTAAATGATTTGACTTTTTAGTAAAATATGATATGATGTAATCGTCTACGACAGAGAGTAATATTGTAGGTACTTTTTTTTTTTTTAATGTAAATATATATATTTTATTAATATGACATATTTTAATTAAATAATAAAAGAAAGTGAGTTATAATTTTTATTCCATTTTTTTTTCATTTAATAAAATCTGAAGTTTTATTAAAGAATTGTGTTATAATTTTTTTTATTCTTTTAGTTTCTTCATCTAATAAAATCTGAACATGTGGCACTGATTTTATTTTCTGCGAATTGAATACACTTAGGGGGTGTTTGGTTGGATGAAAAAAAAAAATTTGATGAAAATATTTTTTTGGGAAAATTGTAAAAAATGTCCCTCTATAATATGTCAATTATCAATGTCACCCCTGAATTATGAGTGGTGTAAATGTTGTCCCTCAATTATCAAAATGGTGCACATATAGCCCCTCCCGTAACGGACCTGTGATTCCCTACCGCTGTTCATCGCTGATACTTTGAATCGAGGGAGGGAAAAAACAACTAAATTACATATTTATTCTGACTTAACGGTGTCGTACACTAACGGGGAACCACATGTCCGTTACGGGAGGGGCTATATGTGCACCGTTTTGATAATTGAGGGGCAACATTTACACCACTCATAATTCAGGAGTGACATTGATAATTGACATATTATAGAGGGGCATTTTTTACAATTTTCTCTATTTTTTTCTAAAAGTAGAGGAAAATGTTATTTTTTGATGTTTGATTCATGGAATTCATTTTTCATTCGAAAATGAATTCCTTACGTTTGAGGAAAACAAAATCTTATGTAGGATATGAGATTTTGTTTTTTTTTTTCGTGAGAATTGGGAAGAAAAAAATGAGATGGTATGACTAGTTTATCATTGTCATTATATTCTTTTCAAATTATTATTACTTTTATTATTATTAATATTAATATTGTGTAGTGGCATATAGGTCTTTATACTTATTATTCTCACAAATTATACTGCGCAACGGTGTGCACACGGTTGCAAAACAACACCGTTTACTATGATGGAGTAACGGTTCTATTAATGGCACCGTTTAACCTCACCAATCATATATATATATATATATATATATATATATATATATATATATATATATATATATATATATATATATATATATACAAAAATTTCAATCGACGTGTAATTATGAATATATAGTTATGCAAGTCTGAATATATAGTTATGAAGTTATGGATATATAGTTATGAAGTTATAGATATATAGTTTTGAAATTATGGATGTGTAGTTATGCAATTATGGATATGGTTATCTGTGAACAAGCACTTTAAGAATTCTGAATATGAAATTATTTAATTATGAATGTCTAGTTGTGAAATTATGAATATATGAATGTGAAATTATGAATGCGTAGTTATTATTTCTGAATGTACTGTTGTCAAATTATGAATATATATAGTTATGTAATTCTGGATATATAGTTATATAATTCTGGATATATAGTTATGAAATTGTGGATATATAGTTATGAAATTATAGATATATCCTACTGTTTGAATACGAAAGGAAACTGCCGAACGCCGTTAACGACGATCCGAACGAGATTTTTTTTAAATGAAACGACGTCGTTTTGCAACCGTGTGCACCATGCATGATGCACACGGTTGCACAGCATAACGATTGCATTATTCCTTACAATTCAAAATTTAACCAAATAATTGAATCAATATTCTCAATAATTTATTTTTTATCGACCAAATAATGAAATTCATCTTCCTAGTAATTGATTTTTCATGAAATTTCAATTTCATTCCACTTCAAATATTTTCTTTCCTGCAAACCAACGGGCCCTTATTATTTTTCTTTGATAAAGGGAAAATTGTTATAAATATATCATAAGTGGACATTATTTCTATAACGGATGTAACGGTCATTATTAATACCATCATTATGGCTTTTGTATTATATATGTATTGTCATATATTGTATGCTTGAGGTATGAAACAGATGAATGAAAGAGATCCTGACTTTTCCTCTCCACTCTCGATTCTGTTTTCTTCCAACACGTATTTTTATTTCAAAAATCGATCTCAGTCTTTAAACATGAACTGACATCATCAAGCTCTTTATATATTTCATTGATGTTTACACCATCAATATTGACTGAGATAATAAATAAGTCCATTATCAACTCTTTATTGAACACATAATGGTACATATTATTCCTTCTACATGAGGATAATAACCCCATTCGCAACTCTTTAAAGAGTAAATAATGGCACTTAATAATACTAAATAAATCCATCAGGGATTTCTCATAGATATTTTGTAGGTATAGATTTGCTAACTTGTCATTGGAGCAAATCTTCTGGACAAATATTTTATCACTCTTCTGGAGTTCATGTGGATCAAGGTATTTTATATCATAAAAAACTATATACGTTTTTATTTGTCCGGAGTATGATGACTTCATGTCAAAAGCATCAATATGAATATTTGTACCTTGATTTGCTATTCCTTATTTCATCTCATAACTTAACAGTCGCTATGACAAAGCGAGAAAGTAATAACGAGATGATAATATAC